GTGTCAAAGAAACCCCGCGAGGGAAGGGATACACCAAACTGACATCCCAGCGGGCAGAGCGCTGAGCAAGTTGTGGGGTTGGGAAGCGAGGGGAGCCAGAACTGCTGAGTCTGGGGGCTGCTGCCCAGTCTTGGGTCGCCTGGGGTCTGTGTGCCATGGTGGCATCTCTGAGGAAGGTGAACGGAGAAGTGCCAGGACGGGTACTCGCAGAGAGCGAGGACATTAGAGATGGGGCCACCAGCATGGCTGAAAAGTGGCCTCTGCCAGGCAGAGGCAGGATGCAGGATGCAGGATGCAGGGCAGAGCTGAGCACGGCTAACTCCAAGCTTGTTACCAGACATGCCAAAGGTGGGATGGATCATGCTGGCGCCCTCCCCACCATCCTCTGCTTCAGAACTCTATAAACCTTCAAGTCTCAACAAATGATAAAACCCTTCCTTGCAAGATTGAAACACGAATGTGCGGGGCCCAGGGCAGGGACTCCTGCAGCCAAATCTAAATGCAAGGCTGCTCTCTCCCATCTCCAAGACTCCCTTCCCCGGGTCATGTGGTTTCTTGGTCTCTCGCTGCACCTCCGAGTTCCAATGGAGAAGGGCCTGTGCTCCTAGGTCAGCCTGACTCTCCTGTTGAGTAGGGTCTGAGTTATGGGCTGGTGCAGAGGAGAGAAGCAGTCAGAGAAGGATGCCTGAGGACAAGTCCAGAAAGCTGAACACAAAAGGCAAAGCCTCCCATGACCTGGGCAGTGTCTTATATCATAGATCAATCTTTTCCGTAAAGTTTTTCTTCCTCATCTTCATGACCCCCCAACCCCCTCTCCCCTCCCTCACTTGCTACTCCTTCTTTATCTTCCTCCCTGGCTCCGCTCCCTCAGACCCTCCTGACCCCACAGCTGTGGGTGATCCTTAGGTGTCATCCCTAGAGCTCTTCTCACTCACAAACTCCCTCGGGTATCAAAAATCCACAGACACTCAAGTCCCTTTTATAAAGTGGCACAGTACAGTCAGCCCTCTGAATCTGCAGATTCCGCATCCATGGACCAAGGGAGAAACTGTATACTTTGGAGAGGAGGAAAATGCACCAAGAAAATGGGAATCAAAATTAAACAAGTAGAAAAGAGACTAAATGAGTGGGAGATTTGGAAGTGCTGGTTAGGGGTCAAAAAGTAAGAGCTGAAGCAGCAGTTTCTGATGCCAGTATTCGTGTTTGTCTCATTTTTGCTCTAATAATAATCAAAGTTAACATTTAAAGAGCGTTTATGGTGTGTCAGGCGGTGTGCTAAAGGATTTACATGCATTAACTTATAAATAAATGACTCTGCATGACAAACCTTGGATATGCTATCAATGGCCTTATTTGTCAGATTGATGAAATTGAAAGCATTATTAAGTATGTTTTACAGATGCAGAAACGGAGGCTCAGAGAGAAGTCTCTCAGGCAAAGTGGTACAGCTATAAGTGGCAGATCTGGGACTCAAACCCAGGTCAGTAACTGCGTGTTTGTATGTTTCACAGGCCCCTGTCAGTGGTTAGTTTATCGAGGACAATGGTGTCGTCTCATTTGTCTTGGCAACTCCGGAACACAGCCCGGTGCCTGGCACACAAGAGGCACCCTTTAAACATTAGCTCAGACTTGGATCCACTTCGTGTAATCTGTGTTTGTTGAATGAATAAATGAATGACTGAATGTACTAACTAACGGACAACTCCCTTGGGTGCTAGCTGTGGATGGCTCCTCCAGGATGGCGTCTTGAGTTCCAGTAGTTGGGGTCTTTTTTGAGGATTTGTGCACAACAGGGAGATTTTGAATGGTGGTTTCTGTATCCACCACGGGAGTGGAGAATTGATCCATCATGTAGAACCAGGTCACAGTGTGGGGTGTTTTCACGCTTTGTTGTTGAAAGGGCAGAAAAGGACCAAGAAGACAGTCAGTGTGTTTCGGAGCTGGGTGGAGGGTGCTGGGGTATTATGTGGAGGGAGGGCTCTGCTCAATGGAAAAAAAAAATTGAAAACACAAGAGGGACAGTCTGAAAAAAGGATGTTGGAAAAACAAACGCAGAGCTGAAGAGGCAGAAGGCTGTAAGGGGAAGCCTGGGGGCTGACGTTGATGCCCTTGCAGAGACCCGTGAGTACAGAGCTCGGACAAAGCAGAGACAGGGTGTGGATGGTCTCACGGGCCAGCGGCTGGGTGGGGTGGGGCCGTGGTGCCAGCTCTCGGACGGGCCCACCGGAGCTCCAGGTGCTGGCTGGCTGAGCCTAAGAACTTGTCGAGCCAGCTGACCAGCTGACCATGACTGAGGGTGTGGGCTTGGGGAAGAAAAGTGAAGGGGGCGAGAGGGGAAGCTATAGTCACACTGAAGGAAGAACTTGGTGTCTTGTTAAAAGGCAGGAGAGAACAGCACAGAGGACTGTGATCTCGGGGACAGGCAACTGGGGACAAGGGAAACACTGGCACTTTGAAACGTGCAAATGAGTTTTAGGGGAGAAGGAGTCACAAGCCCAAAACCCATCACAGAGAAAAACAGGGTGAAACAGAAGAAGCGGAAACAATGAAAATCGGAGAGCGTTCAGTTTACGAGAGACTGATACATGATGTTCAGTGGTTGCTTTGGCTTCGGGGGCAGGAGAACTGTAAATACGGCTCATATGTAAATACCACTCACACCCTGAGAAGTCTGGAAGGCTCGGCTAAGACAATCTGTCTGCTGGCGCTTCAATGACTATGAAGGAAGATATTTGCGGCTGAAAGGACGCTGGATGTGGACTCTGAACACTGGAGTTGAGAGCCAGCTTAGGCCCTGGGGGGCGAGGACAAGCCACTGCCAGAAGCCATTGCTTCTGTGTCTGCAGCAGGGCGAGGGCAGGGGTTGCCTTTCACACGATCGATGGCTGTGAGGGCTGCATTAGCCGCCTAGGGCTGCCACCACAAAGGACCACAAACCGGGGGGCTTAAAACAACAGAAATCTCTCCTCTCCCAGTTCTGGAGACCAGAAATCCAAGTCAAGGTGTCACAGGGCTACGTACCCTCCCAAGGCTCTGGGGGGATGCTTCCTTGCCCCTTTCAGCTTCTGGTGGCCCCAAGCGGTCCTTGGCCTGTGGCTACAGCACTGTAATCCCTGCTCTGTCTTCACATGCCCCCACCCTCATCTCTGTGTGTCCTCTTTTCTTCTTCTAAGGACACCAGTCATTGGATTTAGGGGCCACACTGAATCAGTATCATCTCATCTCGAGACCGTTACCTAACTACACCTGCAAAGACTCTATTTCCAAATAAGGTCACATTCTGAGGTCCCAGGTGGATACAGACCGCGGGATAATACTCAACACACCACAGGCTGCAAACAGCAATGAAGCAAAAGCGCTGAGTAAATTTAAAAGATTTCCCTCACGCTTCTCCTTTTTCTTGTCCCTAAAAGGCCACTCTCGGTGTAGTGCCTCTTCATGCACCTCTAATGACTGCCTTACCCACAGGATAAAATCCAGTCCCCCAGCTGGCACTGCAGACTCCAGATGCTTCTCTGGGCTCTGTCACTGGAGTTTCCTCACCCTCCCCACGTCTTCCATCCTACGTCCCCAGCCAACTGACTCCCCCTGGATCTTCACCACCCAGTTGAAACCCCTTCAGGAAATGTTCTCAAATGACCCAAAGGTGAATCCTTCCTACTCCTGAACCCCTTTGGCAGATACTCTTTCCTCCTCTCATAGGGCAGATAATCAGCTCTTCAGACTCCCTTTGATGAAGCCACCATTTACCTCTTGTCTTGTTATTTTTGTGAACTTAAGCCTTTTCTTCTGTACCAGTCAGGCCTTGAAGACTGGGTGCCTTTTTCTAGAATCTAGTTCTGTGCCTGGCACGATCCAGGTCCACAGCGGCTGTTAACTGAATCATTTACTTCCCACCACACCACTGTTCCTGCCAAAAGTTCATCCCGGCTGCCTTTCCTGGTCACTTTCGTCCAAAGAGATGCCTTTCTCTTCTGAGCTCCTGCAGCAGTTAGCTCCAAGGTGGTCCAAACAAATGGACCACCTTGTTTCAGGATCCACTGTGTGTTCATCTGATATACATTCAGTTCCTTGTTCATTCATGAAGACTCAAGAAGTGCTGTCCAGCCAATCACCATTCATTCACTCGCTCATTCACGAAGTTTTCGTGGCGCCCTTGCTCTGCCTGCCTCAGCACTGGGCTCCATCATCCTACTCGGAGGGCAAAGCAAACTTCCTCGCCCTTCTGCCTTCTCCTCACAGGAACGAACACTGTTCTAAAGTTACTCATGCTCGACGTGACAGTTCTATTCAAATTGCTTCAGCTCATGCTTAAAGGACCAAGTCAAGTGAGGGACTAACAGTGCTACCAGCTTAAGTGAGGAGCTCGAACCCCTCTGAGAAGGCACCGCAAGAGAACCAAGTCTGAGTTCTATGGCCAATGCCAGAAATTAAGGGCCGGGTGGAGGCTGAGCCAGGCTTGGAGAAGAGGCTTCCCAGCACCTTCTGCACTTGCCGTGTGTGTGTGGGGGGGGGGCGGGGGGAACGGGGGAAATGCAGAGGGCCGGGCTCTGCCTTGAGCATTTACCACCATGGTGACTGCCCTGTCCCACCATGGGCTCTGGTCACCCCCCTGAGAAGTCTCTCAGGGACCAGAAGGAAGCTGCAATGTGTTGTTCCAAACAGGACTTCCTGTGAGCGCAGCAGCGTCATGAACTGCGGACAAACAGACAGTAGTACGGCCGAGGCAGGACCCTGTGTGCGGCGTATCATCATGTGCACTACGGCAGGCTCAGAACACAAACTGCATCCCTCCTCCCGTTCCACAGTAAGGCTCACTGGCCGTTTCTCCTGCACTGGCCAGAAAGCAAGACCTACCACCCACTCTCCTGCATCAAGGGGGCCTCAGGGTGAGTGAATAAAAGCACTGATTCCAGCTGCTTCTCTGGTCTGAGTGTCTGAAGATGCCCTGGGCAGGGGACAGTGCCACCAGGGGCTCTGGGTAGAAGGGAATCACTTACCAGCGTTGCTCTGCTGCTTTGTGTTTTTGATGTAGGCGGAGAACTTCGAGAAGATGTCGATGCCCGCTGTGTTGGATTCCCGGTGCTTCGCAGCCAGTTTGGGGTACCTGGAATGCAAGACCAGTGTTCTAGGGTCAGTGAGAACTCAGAGGTCCTTTAAGGGAGAGCCCCTTCCCATCACCTCACGATGAGTTTCTAGCAGGAAACACTCTTGTTTCCAGCAGGATCTACAAATCTTTTGGTGTTTTCCCAACCCATCCTCTAGGGAGGGTGGGCACTTGCATCTCTAGTTCAATGACAGAGGAAACTAGAGTCCAGTGAGGTGTGGAGAACTGCCCAGGAACGCAGCCTGTGGGCAGAAAAGCAGAGCACCACTCAGAGGGTCCAGGGTGTATTCTCTTCCTGGGACCACAAACAATGATGCAGCAATGCCTAGGCCTTAGTCAAAATTCTCAGTGAGTCCTCCTCTGCATCAGGTGGGATCCCAGACTTTTCCCCAACCCATGTTAAAATAACTACCCACTGCCAGGCCTGTGAGTATAATCCTAGCTGCATGGAGCTAATTCTAGGAGTAAGGAGGTGCTAGGCACCTTGGCACTGAGGCCTCGAAATCATCTCTTGAAAGGAATGGTCCCCTTCTGAAATATTCTTCTTATTTGTGTGTAGGAATAAGATGCAGAAACTACCAGGCTACGTCAGTGGGACAAGCATTTACAACTGTTTTATTTCCAGGCATGGAGATACATTTGCAATGACCCAGCACCTCTCCCTCACGCATGCTTCCATTTTGAAGCCAGAAGAGTATAAGAGACAAACTGGGGTTAGGGCTCTTTCCTACTGGCCTTGAGACCAAATGAGGCAAACTTGCTTTGACCCCACTGGCACCATCAAAACAAGCCACTCTAATTTTCAAAAAATATTATTTCACAAACATTTTACATGGATGGCCAGGCAAGGGTGGGAGGAGACGGGGGACAATTGCTTGGTCATCATTATCACCAAGTATGTGGACCTTTGTGATCTCTGGGTGAATAGTGTGGACTGAGAACTATTTGGCTACTTTATGTTTAAAATGCAAAATCTTTTTTTATTTTTTTGGTTTAATGTTTTAAATAACTTGAACCAAAATGCCTGTAACAAGTATTTGTGTTCTTTCATTTTTTTGGCTTCTCCACTGACCGTTAGCTAGGACCGCCCACTCCTGGGCCACATTAGGTGGCTGTTAAATTTCAGATACTGCCACTGGACGAGCCCACGGAAAGTCACTGGGTCCAGCCCTCGGCCAAGAGTCAGATACAGAGGCATTATCGTCCTCATTTTATGGGGAAGCAACCGGAGACCAGAGACGTTAAATGGCTATTTGAGGGCTCATGGGGAATGAATAGTGGAGGGACCCTGAGAACCCAGTTTTTGGGAGCTGAAGCAGTGACCCTCCCACTGCATCACATCACTTCTCCAATATCAACAAAAGCTAACTTGTACCGTGTCCACTATGTGCCAGACACTGTTCGAACCCCTTCGCAGCTTCATCATTTACTCCTCACAATTTCATTGTCGTTAGCCTCGTTTCCCACAGAAGACAAACGAGACACAGAGAAGCTAAGCAATTCGTCTAAGTTCACGTGGCCAGGTGGCAGACCCAGGAGCCCAACCCAGGCAGTTTCACTCTGGAAGCCCAGATCTTAAGTTCCATGTCTTGTGGCCTCTCACCCACTCTGCTGTTTACCCTCCAAGCTCCCAAACACCCCCTGGAGCTGGGCTGAGGAACTCCCCTCAACCACCAGGAGGGGGCGCTCTGCACAGGTTCTGCACACATATTTTCCTGAATACCCTGGGAATCATCAATTCATCTGCTCTGACTTGGGGTACAAAGCAATTGTTCCTGCAGGACGCTAGGTTAATCTCCCAAGACAAGGGAATTTAGGATCATCCATCCCTATTTTGGCTTTCTCACATAGAATTAGGCATGCTCTTAAAATGGAATGTCTTAAATTATTTTAATATATACCAAGTGCTCCTTGTTTTTGCTTGTAAGGTAATAATGTAAAGAGAGAAGGGCCTAGATAATGCATTTTTCCTTTGGGTTTGTTGGTTTTTTTTTAAATTTATGCCATCATTTGATCAGACTTCCACTAATCTGACCATTTCTTCATGGCCAGTGTGGGCCAAACATGATTGGGTGGTGGCAAATCCAAGACAGGCAAAAAAAGGGCCATGTGTTCAGGGAGACCATGCGAGTGCCGTCCTGTTTTCTAAGCACTACGATTCATCGAGACTTGACTTTACAGCATAATGTCCCACTTGAAGACTGTCCTTGTAGGAAGTGTGTCTTCAAATATTAATCTTACAGAGTTTGGTAACTAGATTTGGGGCAGCGACTGTACAGGATGTTAAGTGCTTTTATTTTAGCTCCATATTTACACTGCATTTTAAATATGCAAATAAGTGGGTTCCAGGGTACATTTTGTTTCTCTAAAAGGCTGACAAATGGTATTTCATTTATAGAAACATCCTTGAAATATGATTGTGATGTCATCTGGTGACAATCAAAGAGATGGGCAATTTCTCTAACTCAAGGGTGAGCAAATGATGCCCTATGGGCCAAATCCAGCTCAACATTTGTTTATGTACCTCCCATGAGCCAAGAATACTTTGTATACTTTTAAATAATTGGAAAAAATCCAAAGAAGTATATTATTTTGTGACATGTGAAAATAATATGAAATTCAAGTTTCAGCATTCACTAATAGAACACAGCCACGTCCATGTACTTACATATTGTCTATGGCTGCTTTTACTCTACCAAGACTATATGGCCACAAAGTCAAAAATGCTCCCTGGCTCTTTCCAGGAAAGTTGGCCAACCCCTGCTCTCAATAATGAAAATTTCTCCCCACTCTGTTTTTAAGATATCTTATTTCAAATGCATTCATTTTAGATATGCACTTAAGCTTCATTCTGGGAAGTAAAACAGTTGGCCACTCATCAAAACAATTTTTTTTTGTAAATAGTAGCAAAAAAAAATAAGATATAATTGCAGATGGAAATGCTCTGATTGGCTTAGAGTCCCAAAAGACGTCTCACTGACTAACCATAGGCCACCACGCCCCTGAACAAAAGGACTCCACGCAACTAAACCAACATGCAGTAAGCACCTACCAGGGGCCAAGCCCTGTCCCTGGCATTGGGGATACACTGGAGAAAAAGAGAAACAGTCATCTCGTCCTCATGGGGTGACCTCTGCTGATTCCAGGGGCTCTTCTGGCAGCCTGAGTGTTGACCCTCCGTTTTCAAATAAGCTGAAAAGTGGAAGGATGTCCCCTCTCTCCCTTCCCTGTTATTCCTGCTTCCTCACCTCACCAAACCCTCACTGGAGAAGCAGATTAATGCTTCTGACTTTTCTGCTCCAGAACTGTGAGCTTGCCTTGTCTTGTCCCTGCTACTTAAACAAATGATCCTTGGAGGTGGATGGGGTCTGCCTTATTCATAAAAAGACAACCCCTGGGATCTGTGGATTTAAGACCTAAGCTCACCAGTTGTTTTCATGATTACACCTGGGAGACGGTCACAAAAGAGGCACTGACCTCTCTAGCTCTTCAAGCTGCCATATAATGAGCTCTGACTCTACGTCAGGCACTAGGTTAAGCAGTATCATCCTCAATAATGGTCCCTCGAGATCAACATGACATCATCAGTTTATAGATGTGAGAACTGATGATCAGAGAGGGAATGAGTAATTTATCTGCAGCAGAGACCACACATGCTCATTAAATACCCATGTGTCTCTCTGCATTTCCCTGCCCCTCCCTCTCAGATAGGTTGGGGTCATGTGACTGGATTCTGACCAATAGTATGCGAGGAGAAGTGATGTAACCACTCATAACCCTGGGCTTTAAAAATATTTTGCATCATTCTTCTGCTCCCTCTTTCCCTGCTGAAGGAGTCTTGGAAGAAATGTATTTCAACAGCTACAAAATAGAAGAGGGCCACACTACCCACGCAGACTCTGCATGAGCGAGAAATAAACCTGTATTCTGTTAAGCTACTGAGATTTTGTGTTCAATTTGTTACTTCAGTGTAGCACAACCTGGTGGTTTTAGAACCCAAGGCATTCTGACTCCAAAGCCCATACAGTAAGTCCCCTACATATGAACCTTCAAGCTGCAAACTTTCAAAGGTGCAAACATGCCTTCGCATGTCCAATCATGTAAGTTAGTTCACGTGTCTGGCACTCACTGTTGTTGCGGTCCGGGAGCCACACGCCTGGAGTCGAGTTCCCCGGTAAATGCAACCCGTGTCCCAACCAAGGACACCCGAGAATCACCAACACCAAGTAGAAAGATTAGCAAAGGATTTATACAAGTACAAGTATAGAAGCTTACACAAACTGTCCGGACAGGGTCCCACTCGGAGAGAAGTGAGTGAGACCCCGACTAACAGTCGGGCGAGGCTTTTATACCCTTCACAGGGCGGGAAGTCCCCAAGGCGGGAGGGAGCTGTTTAATTTTGAATCAGCCAATCAGGAACCCGGTTCTTCCCGCCCCAAGCAAGCAAGCAAGTTTCTTACAGAAGCCAAAATGTGCTGTTAGCCCTGAAGCTGTTCTTCCGTTTCTTTCGTCACACTGTCACGTGCATGCGACCTCTACAAGTGGTTGTGCTTTTTGTGTACTTTACTATACTTTACTGTACAGTATTGTATAGAGTACAGTAGTACAGTATCTTTATTGCAAGCCCCGGATGTCCAGAAGCAAGTGTAAAAGCAGCAGTGATGTAGCTGGTACCGCTAAGAAGCACAAGCTGTTGTACTGTACTACTCCACTTTCCAAGGTACTGTACTGTAAGATTAAAAATGTTTTCTTTATATTTTTGTGTTTGTTTGTTTTTTATGTATTATTTGTGTGAAAAGTGTTATAAACCTATTACAGAATAGTACTATATAGCCGATTGTGTTAGTTGGGTACCTAGGCTAACTTTGTCGGACTTATGAACAAATTGGACTTAGGAACACACTCTCAGAACAGAACTCGTCCATATGTAGGGGACTTACTGTACTTTCAGCCACTATGCCATCCTGTGCTTGGTACTGAGGCTGCTTCTCCACCTCCCAGAGGATCAGAAGAAACTTCATGATTTTTACTATCATGAAATATCCATAAACATTTCTTAAAATAATGAACTCAAAGTGTCTTCCAATTCTGGTATGGCTCTGAACACTGTTAATACTTGCGTGATAGTTGACTGACTAAATGACAAGACATGTAACTAGACTTTACCGGTTCACTCCCCTGAATTTTTACCACCGTTTACTTCAAACCGCAACCAGCTCTGGGGAAGCACTTTGAAAAATTCGTGGAATCACAGAACTTCTGCTGAAAGGCATCTTAGAGACTACGTAGTTTCAGAGAGGAGGGAATGGGGGAGGGTCTGAGAGGGCACGAGGCTTGGCCAAGTTCATACAGCAAGCGCTGTGTAGAAAGGTGGCCGGATTTTGGTCTCCTGACTCTCACTTCTGAATCCCATTAACTCGGGCCATTCCACGAGGATGAGGATGAAAGGTAAAGGCAGCATGTCAACAACAATCCCGACGCTCCCTGCGCAGCATTAACTGGGTCAGTCTAAGGAGAAGGCTGGGAGTTCGTCTCATCTGGAAACTTCTTGAGACCTTCCTAGACTCCTCACTTTGACACCAAATGCCTTGTGGAACCCAATGTGATCTTTTAAAAAGATTGCTGGAGTGTTTGTATGTGGGTTTTTTCCTTTAAAAAATAAAGCTAAGGGGGAAAAAGGCTCCCACAATTTCTTGGCTCTCTGGCAGCTTTTACAAACAGCAGTGTGATGAGAAACACATGCTGACCAGCGTTTGTGGAACAGAAACGGGGGTTTTGCTGCCCCCTAGAGAACCAGAAGGCCAGGCTGCCCTCCTCCTGGGGCCTCTGGACATGGGCCACCTGACCGACCTCCCAGCTAGAGTTGGTGGGAAGCCAGCCAAGGTGGGTGGCTTTGCTGTGGGCAGAACAGCCGGTCTCCCTTTGCAGGGCTGAAGCACAGGTTTGCTGACATTTCCTGGGAGGTAATTATGGCACCTACCCCAGTCTGATCCATACAAAGGCATCTAAAGGACACTTCTGGGGGCTCTGAAATGGTTGATGGTCTCATCACTAGGGTCCCACCTTGGTGCCCTTCTGGAGTTGTGCATTTTAAGAGTTTTGAGGTTCTGCTACTGTGGCGTGGCGGACCGTAGGGTCACTGACACATCAGGAATGGACTTAGTAAAACCTCCTACACACATTGCAGTCCAGAGGGACCTGGACCAGATGAAGCAGAGCTCAGGACAGGTGGAGAGAGAAGTGCAGAGGCAGCGTCTATGTCCTGCACAGCTTAGCCTGATTCGGATCATGGAAATTTTCCAGAATCTGATGATACGGTGATGAATCTGATCATGGCCCTCCTCTGGAAGAATCTACCTGTACACATGGGCATACAATTCCGGGGGGGGAGGCGGGGGAGGGTCTCATGGGCCCCCTTGGTCCTCTTGGGGATGTAGATTAGAGAGCCCTGAGTTAGAGAAACAGCCCCCCAAAGGCACCGCTGGACAGGGACTGAGGGAGCCTGGCTAAGATGGGCGTGAAGGGTCATCGTTTCACAGGGGAGGGAATGGAGGCCGAGAGCAAGAAAGAGACTGGTTCGAGGGGTCACAGTGTATCACTGGCAGATCCAGGAGTGGACCCAGGCCTCCAGGCCCAGCCCAGCCCAACCCTGCACGCCTCCACCCACCAGGCTGGCTATCCATCCTCCGCATTGTTTCAGTTTCCCATTCCCTACTGGCCTTGATGGAAGCAAGGACTCCTGTGTGCGGGTATTACTTCTAGAAGGCAAAATGTTAACTTCATCGTGGACTTTCCCCTCTGGATCTCCCAGGCAAAGTCCAAACCCTATTTAGTTACTGAAAACAGCATGCATTTTCTGTTGTTGGATTCCAAACCAGAGCCAGCAGTGAGGTTGAGTCCCAAGGGAGGAAGAAAGAGCCTGAGCCCCCTGGGGGTCTTTTCAGCAAAGTGGCTGGCCTGGTATTACAGGTGGGGCTGCCCAGCTGATATAATCAATGCCTTTATTTTAAAGTCTATTGGACTTGAGGCAATTTTCCACACTCAGTATGGAGATAAACTATCCTAATGTGGATGACAGAATACATTTTTAGGAAGAATGTATAAATGGTTGAGGCTTAATTAGATCACGACCGGGAGTTCTGATTTAACAGTGATCTGCTAGATGTGTGACCTTGGGCAAGGTACTTAACCTCTCCGATCCTCAGTTTCCCCAGCTATCAAATTAGGATAATGATAGCAACTACCTTTAAGGGCCCACTAAGTGAGGGCTATATAAATATCAATTAAAGAATAAAACTTTAAAATAAATGCAAGATGGTCATTTTTATAGTCAATCCCACTTATTTTACCTACTAAGTATGTCCTAAAATCCTTCCTACCCCTCTCCCCCCATTTCACTGTCACTGCCTTAGCCCAGCCCTCCAGTCTATCTTACCCAGAATGTTACCAGTTGGCTCCCTCCTAGTTGATTTCTAGGAGCTTTTCCTCCTCTGCCCACCCCATCTCCCCCCATCCCCCAAAGTAAGCCTGAAAACGGAGTCCCCAGCACTTTGGCTTAAAGCTTTTCAGTGACTATCCTACAGGATAAAGTCCGTGCGCACCTTACTCTATATGTAATATTATTGTTCCAGTTTTTTTTTTTAAAAGGTGATTGTTTGAATCCCTGATTTCAGTAGAGTACAATGAACAAGTCTAGCTTCCAGCAGCTTTTAGAATTCCCCTCTCTTCTCTTCACTCCTCTTTCCCATCAGGAGCAGCTTATCTACCGGACAAGAACCCACAGCCCTCTGGTCCCTCCTCTTCCTGAGCTTGTGTTCAGAAGAGGAACTGCTTTCAGTCCGTGTTTTTCATGTTTAATTATGGGCTCCGACCTGACAGGGTCAGATTTATGACTCTTATTCATACCTTGGTGTGGTTTTAAGTCATGGGATTACCTCTCTCCTGGCTGACTTTTCACTTCGTCAGCCTTTCAGCTCTTGTTCTGCAATGAGGGAGCCTTGGCCTTCACTCAGGCCGAGGGACCCGGCGTTAAGCGGCATCAACTCTTGGGGTTGGACTTTGTGGGGCAGGTTTGAGACTGGCATCCCTTTGGGGGTGGGGAGGGCCATGCGGGACTCGCTCTTTGCAAAGAGGGTCCTGGGCTCTGGATTGATGAGGCTCCTTTGGAAATCTCCCCCAGCATCCAGAAAAGCACGAGGACCCCCTCCCTGTCATTAGCTCCAGAAACAAGCAGCTCATTACTTTTCGGGGGTCAAAGTCTCCTCCAGGAACTCCTCGATCTTATTGACGTCCGTCTTCACGTCCCCGTTGAAGGTCAGGAAGGGCGGATGGGTGCCAGGGGCGAGGTTGTGCAGGTCGGCTGGCTTTCTGTGGAGAGAGCAAGGTTCAGGGGTGGCTTACACCAGGGTGCTTCACAGACAGGGAAGCCCAGGGCGTACTGTCCATTAGACGCCCGTCGGCAAAAACAGACCCGGTGTGAGGCGTAGGGCAGAGGAGGTTGGAGAGATCCTGGAAGGATGTGGTGTGACACAGGATATCCGACCGGTGGAATTCAGAGAGAGGGGAGCAAGTCGGATGGACTTCGAAAAAGCAGTGTGATCACAGGTGAACATCTAAGCTAAAGCCAAGCTTCTGATACCCAGGGAGGAAGTTGGGCTTTGCTTTCAAAAAGTCCTTCACCCATTAGCTTTACAAAAATGCACGAGGCAGAATCCCAAACTTTAAATATTCATGAATTCAGTCAGGCGTTTACGCGAAGAACGATAGTCTCTGTTCTTTAAGGTTTGCGCAATGGGGAGGGAGTGACCTTGTGTTTGACGTGGGCCCCTGTTCACGTCCAAGGCTGGGCCCCCCCCCCCACAGCCGGTCAGAATGGAGGTGCAGAGATGGAGCAAAGCGAGCGGAAGAAGGGCTGGCGGACGGATGGAGGGAAGTGGGCAGGGAGAAGGCTGCACAGAGGACAGAGGGAGGAAAAGGAGAAATAATGATGGAAACTTCCCCGGGCAGGGCTGGACCATCAGTCACCCCAAACGCTCTCTCTGAGAATGCCACACTCCTGCGGGAGGCAAGCGTGCGGAAACATTACATGGAGGAACCCCAAAGGAGTAAACAACGGGGAAGAGGAGTCTGTAATGAAACACATTCCTGGCGTGATCAGCTTGGGAGGGCAAGAGAAGAATGTCAACTAAGGCGCCCCTCCCACATCCTTGCCCAACACGCACACTCTCCAGCTGCCTTCCGTGGCGCTTGGAACTCCTCAGACAACTGACACCGAAAGCATTTCTAAAATCTAATTTCCTTAGTCCCTGTGTTTGCTTTGTGAGTGTTTCTTCCTTTCAGACATTCTGTACCTTCTTCTCCTGTTTTTGAAAGCTCACCTCAGGCAGCAATGCTTGGGTGCTCAGCAGGGAGGGAAAATCTATACTGATTTTATTTTTCAGCAATGACTTCTCTGTGGCTTAAAGATCCAGAAATTATTAAGGATGATTTTCTTTTCTCTAGGACTCAAGAGAACAATGGGCTCTGGAGTCTGGCATCCTTGGAAAGTACTGCCCTGCCCGCTGTAGCTCAGCTGACGTTGCCAATGGGCACTGGTCAGGGGCGGGCCCCTCTCTTTGTTGACCCTCTTCAGTAGTTATGAAATTATGTAATTAGAACTTAATTACACATTGCCAAGTCTAACTTACAGATTATTTAATGTGTATCAGTTCTCCTTCCCTGCCTGGACTGCCAGCTCCATGAGGGCAGGATGATGCTAAGATGAGCCAGCATGTGCGGCGTTCTTGCTACAAGCCAGCACAACACAATGCAAGTGGTCCATGGCCTGCCTCATCAGATCCTCACAATAACTCTAGAAACAAGGCATAACTTTTATCCCCATTGTACAGGTAAGGCAACGGGCTCAGAAAACAGAAGATTCAAGGTCACTCCACCAATACATGGTGGTGCCAGGATAAGAAATTAATTTTATTAGGAATTGCTAAACTTCACTGTATCATACATTTTTAAAATTCCTTAATTCATATATATATATATATATATATATATATATATATATAAAATTTTTTTTCAGTAAGCAATTCTCCTTATCTATAAAACTGGAGTCGTGATACTTGCCCGGCCCACTTCAAAGGGCGTTGGCAGGATCGGATGTGATAACAGCTAGGAAAGAGCCTTGTAAGGATCTAAGGAATGCTGGGATGGTTCCCTCTCCCATTCTGATCCCCAGACAAATACGAGTCTACTTTCACAGATGATACTCCAAAGACCTCCTATTCTCCACTGAAGGAAGCCAATCTTTCCAACTGTAGGAAAGTCTGCTCTCTGTAGCTGTCACAGACAATATCTGCATTTCGTGTGTGTTTTCGTTCATTTGACAGAAATTAGTCAGGGCCCCGAATGAATGAATTGGCTGCTATGGCAGATACAAAGAAACTTAAAACATGATCTCGACTCGCCCTTGAGGAATTGAAGGTCTGATGCGAATGACAAGACAAACTTCATAACTGATGTGTCCTGAAGAACGTGTCATTTGAACCAAGAAGATCGGGTTTTTAGCGGCAGCCCCTCCAATTCCAGGTGGGCACCTTGGACAAGTCATTTAAATGTGTCTGTCTTGGTTTCCTCATATAGAACGAAGAAATAAGATCTCCTTCACAGGGTTACACTTTATGCGATTTTTTTATGGGAAAGCATGCGCTAGTTGTAAAGCATCGGGATTGTAGATATCGTAAATTGGTGAGATGCAAAATGGACCATAGATGCTGGGTGAGTCTGGAGGGAGGCTGAGTGATAGATTTGCCTGAGAGTGGTAGGATGGGAGGGGGAAGCTTCCCAGGGGAGGGGGTTGCTTCTGGGGGCTGGGCACCATCTCTCCATTCAGGAAAAACAGAAAGCCTCTGTGAGACAGAGGAAGCATCCCAGGCAACGGCTGGAGGCCAGAGGGACAAGGGCAGCAGAAGGTGGTCCAGCCTGCCAGAGGAAGATGGGTCCTGGGAGATAATGTTGGGAAGAACCAAGGCAAAGACAAAGGAGGGCTGCAGATGCATTTATGCTGCAGGCAATGGGAAATGTCAGGAGGTTTTCTGAGTAGGGAGAGCCACATGATTAAAGGATTATTTTAGGAAGAATATCCTTATGATAATATAAAGGATGGATCAGAGAGAGACAGAGAGAAACCAGAAGGATGAAGACCAGTTTGAAGAACAGAGAAACAGTCCAGCTGCCAGTGGTGGGACCCACACCTTGTGTGGGCTTTGGGAATGGACAAGAGAGCCTGGAAGTAAGAGACAGCACGGTGAGAGAATGCCCTGGGCTTGGCGACTGATGGACAATGGGGATGGCAAGAGAAGGAAGCTGGAAACGTTTCAGTGCCTAGAAAAATGGAAGAACAAAGGAATTCAGGAGGGGACCCCCAATTCAAAGGGAAAATGAAGGTACAATTTTGGACACACAGATTTTAAAGTGATAACAGAAAATGCAAGTGGAAATATCTAGAAGAGAGCAGGGCTCTGGGTATGGAATAACTGACATAAAGGTGACAGGGAGAGTATGCTAAGCTCACTGGGGGAAAGCTGTGGCAGGTGATAAAGACCCAGGGAGTGAGCCTTAGCCAGTCCGCATTTAAAGGACAGGCGGGGGAGAGGAAAGAGAAGAAAGATGGAAACAGTGTGGCTTGTGATGGTGAACAATGCCCGTATTTTCAACAGCCATTAAAACTGCACTTTAAAAGCAGAACACTAGTAACTCTCCATCCCAGTCTCTAAACCAGAGCTCTCACACTAAGGAGTTCTAAAGATGGGAACATTGTGGGAGAAATAGTCTGGATCCCAGCTCCTTGGAAACTCAACCTCTCACACCTGAAATCTGGCTGGGGTCCCCTAGGTTGGGGGCAAGAGTAGGACCAGAATGGCTCCCTCCCAGATTTTTGGATGCTGCGCCCATCTATGTGCCAGACACTCTCAGTCGAGATACCCATTGTCCATTCCCACCTTCTTCCTGCTAGTCGGGACTTGCTCTGTTCCAAGGGTGTTGCTTGCTTTTGCAGCCTCCCCTGTAACCAGGGCTCTAGGGCTCTGGCCAGCAAGATGTGAGCAGGAGGTTGCTGGGAGCCTTGAGGTTTTCGCCCTCCCTCATGGAAGATTCTCTCTTCCTGCAGAGAAACATATTGCTCATGAATGTATCATCCTTTACCTTTTCAGATCCACAGTGGTGACATTGAACACAACTCCTTTCAGCCAGAGGATCATAAAGAGGCGCTGAGAGAAGGGACAGTTGCCAATGCTTTCCCCATCGATTCCAGCCTAGAAAGAAGAGCACCAGAGTCCTGAGTTAGCTTGTGCACGCCAGCAAGAAGGAATATAGGATTGTAACAGCCAGACACCAGTCTGAGCAGAACCGAAAGTCCATGCCCCAGCCTTACTTTAAAGTTGCCCTCTAAGATTTATCCTTGTCTTCCTAATGTTTATGCAAGGTGACACCTGGCACAGGGTAAGGGCTCGATAAACACGTGCAGAACTGAATGTGAGTTTCCAGTATGGTGATTATGGAGAGTCATAACTTTCTGAAACCACTGAACCCTTGCATCTCAGGGTAAAAAGAGACCTTCAGGGCTTCCCTGGTGGCACAGTGGTTGAGAGTCCGCCTGCCGATGCAGGGGACACGGGTTCGTGCCCCGGTCCGGGAAGATCCCACATGTCGTGGAGCAGCTGGGCCCGTGAGCCATGGCTGCTAAGCCTGCGCGTCCGGAGCCTGTGCTCCGCCACGGGAGAGGCCACAGCAGTGAGAGGCCCGCGTACCGCCAAAAAAAAAAAAAAGAGAGAGACCTTCAGCATCACATAGTCTAACACAAATGATGTTGGACCAACTTCTGTACTCTTGAGTAATCATCTTGTCTATGCTTGAATATCTCCACTCACCGGCAATGTATATCTCTCAAATCAGTCCATTCTGAGGACAGTTCTAAACCGGTTCTAACCAAAGAAATGCTTTTCTTTGGTTATACCTCGCCAAAGTATGTTCCTCTGCGGTTTTTCTACCCTTTGGTCCTTACTCCGTGAAGACGTCATGAGTACAGACCCTCAGATTTTGACCCTACGTCTTTCTATCTTGTCAGCAGGCTCAAGACGTTAATCAATGTCCCACTAGGTTCTGACTACTACTTGACCTAGTGTCAATAAACCATTCATTTGTTAAATTATCCTTTTGCTCAACGAATACGTATTGACCATGTACAAGGCACTGGAAGAAATTACACAGGGGATTCAAAACTGCATTTACTCAGGAGCTTATGGCCTCTTGTGGGGTGGGCTGGGGGATGAGATGGGAACACATAGGAAACCATGACAGATAGCATTACTGAGGACCTGCACACTTCTGCTCCCCACATTTCCCCTTCTCAGTACCCTCCTCAAAACAGCAGATTTTTTTTTTTTTGTCGGAAAGGCAGGTCTCTCTTTACCTCTGAGTAGGCTGCAGAGATGTGAATTTTATAAAGAATACTTTCGGAAACATACGAACAAGAAGTCTGGGGAACTGATCTCTGTGTAATTTTTTTTCCAGTGAGTGCTTTATTGGCCCCAAAATGGTACTTGGAGGGAGAAATCACCCATTCATTCTAGTTTGCTGTTGGCTCCCCTGGAAACCGTGGTGGCATCAGGACCAGGCTCCACTAACAGGGAGGGTTCAAAGAGGGAAGGCCCGCCAGCCTTGCTTGCAAAGCTGCCAGCAATCCAACCAACATCCTGGAATGGGGGCTTACTAAGATTTTCTTTTTCTGAAAGAGAAGGAGAAAAAAACTACCCTCCAAGCTCATCACATTATTTTTCCCCTCAAGGTTTGTTTGCTGTGGGGCTCGGATGGGAAGGCAGGTTTGTGTCCTTATTTCTACCTGGCCCATCGCTCCCAGCAGAGGCTCAGGTTTATAATGGAAAACTGGCGCCTTTGACGGTATTGCTTGTAGGTAATTGCTATGAAATTACAGTTATTTTACCTCTCTCTTAACTCCACCCAGAGCCCCATCCTGATTCAGTTCTCACTTTCCTTAGTGCTGGAGACAGACCCACCCTGAGTGTTTCAGACACTACGGCTAGGTTATAGAAAATCAGAAAGGTGGAGGGCAAGAGGGCGGGCGCCACCCCTGCCCACAGGGCTAAAGTTACTGATAAAGCCACACTCAGACAGGCGACTATGAATTTAATAATAACTCGTTGCAAAACTTGAGTTGATGACATCAGTTTCCTAAGACTTTCTTTCCCAAGAAGCACTCATCTGACAGGTTCCTGGTCCTTTAAGACATCCTGACAAAGGAACTTTTCCCCAGGGCCGGTTATGGTGTTAAGTGACAAGTGGAGAATTAAAAAAGAAAAACGAAAGCCACGGTCCACACACTCTCATCTGTTTTACCTCCGGGGATGGAGGTGGTCATAAGGGGATTGAAGGAGGTACTACTGAATTATTGGAATTCTTATTAGCTGGACCAGAAATTCATATAATAATGTTAGTAATACCAACGAATGTCTATATAGTCAGGCACTGTTCGAAGTGCTTTACGTATATTATTAACGCATTTATTGCTCATGCGAAACCTGTGTAGTGAGATAGTGTCACCATTTTACAGATGTGGAAGCTGAGGGGAAATTACAGAGAGGGGAAATCACTGGTCTGAGGGTCCCTGGAATGAACCCAGGCGATCTGGCTCCAGATCCTGAGCTCTTAACTGCCATGCACAGACTCCACCCTGAGGGCCCAGCCCAGACAGGTAGCACGTTCACACAAGGTCACAGAGCAGGAGGTGCGGGTGCTGGATGTGCGTGATGCATCCCAGCCTTCAGTCCATGTGCCACAGCTCTGCGGGGGTGTACAGGCTGGTGGTTGTCACAGCTCCCCACATTTCCACTATTGTCTTATATTATGATTCTAGACCTAGTAGACAAAAATTGCCAAAAGACGAAGAGAAATAATATGCGAGGATTTTATGATTTACACCCTTACTGTCTTTGCATCTCTCTTGAAGCTTCCCCTTCCCTTCCCTTTCCTTCCCTTTTCTTGTGCTAGGAACATTTAACATGAGATCTACCCTCTTACAAAATGTTTCGGTGCACAATGCAGTATTGTTGACTGTAGGTCCACTGCTGTAAGCAGCTCTCTAGAGTTTCCTCACTTTGCTCAAATGAAACTGTATTCCCGTTATTAGTAACTCCCCACTCCCCCCTCCCCTTGCCCCTGGCAACCACCTTTCCACTCTTTGATTCTATGACTTTGGCTATTTTAGTTACTTTATATAACTGGAATCATGCAGTATTTGTCTTTCTTTGATCGACTTAATGCATTCACCATAATGTCCTCGAGATTCACCCATGTTGTGGCATATTTTAGAATTCCCTTCTTTTTTAAGGCTGCATAATATTCCACTGTGTGTGTATACCACAGTTTCTTTATCCATTCATCTGTCAGTGGACATTCAGGCTGTTTTCATATCTTGGCTATTTAAATAGTGCTACAATGAACACAAGGGTGTTAAGATCTCTTCCAGATTCCAATTTCAATTATTTTTAGCTAACTACCCGGAAGTTGGATTGCTGGATCATATGGTAGTTCTATTTTTTATTTTTTGAGGACCCTCCATACTGTTTTCCATAGTGGATGCACCACTTTGCATTTTCACCAACAGTGTGCAAGGGTTCTAATTTCTCCATATCCTCACCAAGACTTGTTCTCATTTGTTTTTTTCCAGAATGGCTACCTTGACGGGGGTGGGGGGGAGGTGAGATCTCATCATGGTTCTGATTTGCATTTCTCTCATGATTAGTGACATTGAGAATTTTTTCATATACCTGTTGGCCATTTGTATGTCTTCTTCGGAGAAACATCTATTCAAGTCCTTAGCCGTTTTTCTATTACATACTATAATAGAAATAGCATGATGTAATTATATAGGTTGTATGATTATACTTTATATGCTGTATGCCAGCTAAGTCATATTATACGTTCTGAAATATTGTCTTCCACATAGTCTCTCCCCCATATGGTGAGCCTGGCTGTCCCCAAACCACGACTGTGTTTTATTCACGTTATCTTTAGCAGCAACAAGCACAGGTACCTGAAACTGAGTTGATATTCAGTGCCTGTTAGAATGGATACATGTTGAGGGGAGGGTGATATTGCTCCACTTTCGTGGCTTGAGTATCCCTAAATTTTGATGTTGGCCCTTTGAAGAGCATCCTGAGAAAAAAGCTTGGGTTGCAGAAGACGTTAGAGCAGGAGATCACGGCTCTAGACCCACCTCTGCCTGTGATTCACCGTGTGACCCTGAGTCTCAGTCTTTGCACTTATAACTTCCCTCAGTGTTGTGAATTCAAGTGCCTAATGAAATTAAGCAGTTTAAGACAGCGGTTCTCAAACTCTTTGGTCTCAGAATCCTTTTATGCCTTTCACGATTGGTGAGAATATCCCAAAGAGCTTTCTGTTCATGTGGGTTATAGCTATCGATATTTACTGTATTATAATTAAAACTAAAAAATATTTCAAATATTTGTTTACTCATTCATTAAAATATAATACTAAAACACATTACATGTTAACATAAATAACGTTTTAATTAAAGAAACCATATATTTTAAGAAAAAGAAATTTAGTAAGTAGAGTGGAATTGTGATCTTTTTACAAAATCTTTAAAGTATGACTTAACAGAAGTTGGCTTCTGCATTCAGTCTTTTGCTGCTTGGTTGAGGTATATGAAGAAAATCTGGCCTTTACCCAGATATGTAGTTGTAAAAGGGAGGAGTAATTTAATAGCCTTTTCAGATAATTGTGGGTATTTTTCTTTTATACCACACCTAAACTCAACAAGCGGTAGTTTCTTTTCTTTTCTTTTTTTTTTTTTTTTTTGCGGTCCGGGGCCCTCTCACTGCTGTGGCCTCTCCCGCTGCGGAGCACAGGCTCCGGACACGCAGGCCCAGCGGCCACGGCCCACAGGTCCAGCCACTCTGCGGTATGTGGGATCTTCCCGGACCGGGGCACGAACCCGCGTCCCCTGCATCGGCAGGCGGACTCCCAACCACTGTGCCACCAGGGAAGCCCGGTAGTTTCTTAAAGTTTAGTTGATAAGTGGAATTTGAAACCCTATCAATGAAATTCTTCTGTTCCACTAAAACCCATTCATCTATCTCACACTTTGAATGGGTCTTTTACCCATGAATGATTTTGTCACATCACAAATTCATCTTTTGGAAAATAGCATTTCACGGAGTTAAACAGATCTTCCAAATGGTGATACATCTCTTTATACAGTAGCAAAGTATCT